GAGCTGAGGATCTCCCCAGATGCAACCCCAAAAGTCCTTTTCTTTTGGCTGAACCACCACCTGGATGTAGCTACTGGTAGTCACTGGATTGGTATAAGCTGTTCAGGTCTCTTAAGGGAGATTCTCCAAAAGCAGGGACATCTGGATAGAATAAATTCATTGACTCAACTCAGAATTCTCCAAAGAGTTTCAGCCCATAAAGTCTGGCATCTTGGTCTGATCTGTTTGGCTTTGGATACAGACTGAATGGACTATAGCTGTGATGATTCTAACTTACCTGGCTATGTATGATCCTTTTCCTCTGCTATCAACATATCTGTGCAGGCCTGTTTGCTTCTATTTGAGCCTACAGTTGGCACACCCTACCCTGTTCAAGACTGCATCTGTGCTACAGTCTTGACGGTCTTATCTTTAAAGTCCAATCCTGTGTCATTATGTTGAGTAGTGAACTTCACCATCTTTTTAGCCACATCTATCTACTCAGTCTCCTTTATTGCATATTCACTGCCTCCGTAGGTGTGACTGTGCCCACCTCCTTTCCGACCTCCCTCACCAACTCCTCAAACACACAAACCAAGCAACCTCCTCCTGTGTGGCTTCCTCTGCTAACTAGACAGTAGACTCCATCACTACAGTCTTTGTAGTATGCTCCCTACCACTAATACTGCCCCTACCCTGCCTCCAGTCCATTGTTCTCCACCCCTGTAAGCCACACCTAATGCTCCTAGAATAAAACCCTTTCTCTACATTCCATCTGGCTACTCCTCGATCTCATCTTATTTACCCAAACTCTGGCATTCACTAACACCACATTCTTCCAGAAGGTAAAATTATAAGCGTCTTCCACTGTGTGCTTTACCAAAGCCCATTATTGACAAAGCCCTATCCATCTACTCCTCTTCCTTCTCCATTTCTCAGGTGTAATCCTAGCTGCCCACTGACTCATATCACTCTTAAGGAGAATGTCTTACAGTCCTCTGTATTTCATGATACCCAAGAGAGGGGTACACACATTGTATATGTTCAATAATATTAAATTAGTGATGGATTATTAAACAAAAAAGGTTGGCATTCCCAGAAAATCATTGTTCCCACCTCTGCTTGCAGAAATTATCAAGAAACGCACTAGCCTGCAAAAGAAATACCTTCTAGACCTTTTCAAATTCCCTACTGCCCCCTATAAGATATGTCTGATAGCTGAAAGTAAACTAGTCTTTGCAAGCACTAAATTGCTCATCATTCTTGCAAAGGATGTCATTTAGTCAATGACCTTCCCTAAGGAAATATAAGTGGAACATAGTTGCCTGAGAAAAATTAATTCACTCAACTCCAGTAAGTAGCTCACAGAGAACAGCTTTCATCATCCTAGGAGATCTGAACCATATTTCATTCTTGGTTTTCTTCCCTTTTTGGGGAGTGGGTAGATGGAGGATTTGAATTATAACTGGCTAGTGCAGTTAGGTTTTTAAAGATTTGTAGCCCAATGCTAAATAGGCATGATGTCACCCAGTTTTAATTATGAGAGAATAAAAATGTAGTACAATTCCTTGTATCTGAAAATATAAATATTACTTCCACATCCTAGCAAACTCCCCTAACTCTCCACATACAGGTATAGATGGCAGAAGATGGAGATAATGGCCAGCTTGTAAATGTAAAGTAGACACAGGGACCAGCAACAAATGGCAGGGGGTCCAAACTCCAGTGCCTTCAGGAGCCAAGCAGGTAGTATGAACAGTTAAGCAAACTTTATAAGAAAATCAGTAGAGTTATGGGGAATGATAAAAGGCAGCTACTTTCAAGGTCAATGTGCCCACTACTGCATCCAGGAAATCCCTGCCATGCAAGAATGGTGGGACTAAATTGTTCAGAAAGTGGCAGAAACCCAGATTTTTTACGTGAAGTCACCGAATATTGGCAAGTTATTCAAATTAGAGAGAAGTAAAGAAAAACAAACAAGCAAACAAAAACAACCCTGTTCCAATCAAGTACAACATGAAAGGCTGCTAATTTGTCATCTTTGGAAGACAGACTAAGGTTGGAGTGGTATAAAAAAATTATAAAAATATATTCCTAAAACTAAATCCCTATTTCACACCCACTTTTAGTAACTGGATTTCTGTGTTGATCATCTGTGCTGAATACTTACATTAATAATCATAACGCAGATTAAAAGCGCAAATGAAAAAATTAGAATATAGATATCTAGATATCTAGATATCTAGATAGATAGATAGATAGATAGATAGATAGATAGATAGATAGATATCTGTGGACAAAAAAAGGGGCCACATACTAAACCTGATACACACAGGGGAGGCCAGTATGGCAGGCCCTACAGACTCAGACACCTAAAGTAACCATATAGGATAGTCTGAACATAAAATTCCAAACTAAAAGCGAGTCATGTTGGATAGTCATGGTGGATAGTCACGTCTTAAGCCTGCAGCTTCCTGGACAAAGGTCAAACTTTACCTTAAGTGAGCCTGTCTATTGTCTTTTTGCATCTAAGATAACATACCTTTGAACCGTCAGAGTAATCTTTTTCCAGACCCCTCAGGGCACAGCCACACTGAGTGAAGACCACAGAACCCCTCATTGTTTCCCACATACCATCTAAATGCTGTAAATGTTAAGCAGTAACTATCCTGTACTCCCAACGTAAAAAAAGTATGTGTAGCTGTTTTACTTTCTATCTCAGAGATTTCCCGCTTTGCTTTCTCCCACCTCCTTAATCTATCACCGATGGATTTCAAATAACCCTCCTTAGGTCTCTTCCTTTGATTCTGATGTACAAAATACGCTGCAAAACTGCCATTCTCCACTGCATTTTCTTAATCCATTGAGATTCTGCTTCCCAAAAAGTGTCATAAGTTTGGCTCAAATAAACTTATAAAAATGCCTTCAAAAATTTCTTACATCAACATATCAAATTTTTGGTTAAGAGATGACTCTAGGCACACTATAATTTTAAAAATCACATGAAATTTTTAAAAATATATGGGGGAAAAACCTGTGACCAAAACTAAATGCAATAAAATCTGAAAACATCTGAAGCCAATACGGCAAGGGGTTAATTGTCTTTTAAAAATATATATATTTTTACTGATTTCAGAGAGGAAGTAAGAGATTGAAACACCAGTGATGAGAGAGAATCATTGATTGGCTGCCTCCTGCACGGCCCCCCACTGGGGATGTAGGCCACAACCTGGGCATGTGCCCTTGAATAGAATCAAACCCGGGACCTTCAATTCACAGGCTGACGCTCTATCCACTGAGCCAAACCAGCTAGGGCGATATAGATATTATTTTTAAATATGACTAAAAAAAGAATCTTTGCATTGGGAAAAAAACATTTAAAAAAATAATGTTAAATAATCGGTATTGGGATATCAAATTGGTGGAGTTTGAAAGAAGATAAATTGCTCTGAATTAGAAAAGGGTGAGATATAAAGAAGCCTAAGGGAAAAATAATCTATAGAAATTGCCTATAATAGGGGGGATTTTAGAAACTGAGCTGGATAAGAGCAAGCAAAGAAAAATTCAGTGGCTAAACGTAGTGATTTGGGGTGAACTGAGCAGAGCTGCCTAATGGCAACACAGGTGAAGCATGCGATCAACTGTATAAGGCAGTCCCATGATATCTTCTGTAAAATCCACATATTGCTTTTTTTAGTTTGTTTTTTAAAACGAGAGTGGGAATAGAAGGGGCCATGAAGTACATAGTTCTATTTAAAGGCTGGCCTAAAGTAATTACAGAGAAGACGTGGAAAACTAGCCAAAATCTGTATTCCACAAGAAGGATTCGAATTTTCCTTTTACAATGAACCTAAACAGAAAAGTTTGGTCCTCATCAGAACGTCAGTGGAAGACAACTCTGAAAACATGAAAGAAATTCTGAAACAAACAAACAAAAAATATTCCTTACAATCGATTTGAAATATTTTAGAGCATTAAATTCAAATGACATGCTAGGTATCTTCTAAGGTAGTTAAAATCTTTGGAAGTAAAATGATGACTTCTTTGAAGATTTCTAGTGAGAATTAGGAAATACAATTGTGTCTCTTGAACATTTTTTAAAGTGCTTTAATAAGCTGCAGTATTAAGATCCTTTCAGGGCATATCTTTCCATAGTTTTTTGTTGTTGTTTTTTCAAGCTGAAGTGTAGAGAAATTATCTTGGTTGAAGACCTTGAAATATTTAGAATCATGTATTTATCTTCTTTGAGTATTCTCATGTGAGGTTATCTTGACGTCCACGATTTTATAAGAATCGTGCCTGGTTTGAAGTAGTAAATTTGGATCGCAACAGATCAGCCTCCCTTGAAATACACTCATGTTGCAGACAATGGGGGAAGTCTTGTTCCAGTTTTCTAAGAATCTCCCTTTAGTGTGCACATTTTCCACGCGGAAACATGAGTGTGTATGAGCCTATCTCATCACATGCCTTCTCCCTGAGAGATGCGAGAGCATTTATGTATGAGTATTTGTTTCCCCTCAAAACATGTTTCCTTTAGGGAAGAAATCAAAGGATGAGTTTTCAGTCTTTGCAGGGCGCCTACAAAGGCTTTCTAAAGTGAACCTTTATGTGCTGGAACATTCTATTCCTAATTAAAGGCAGCAAACATGAAAATGCCTAGTGTAGAATGGTGTGGTCATATAAGCCTTCACTGGAGAAAATACTTTCTTCTTATTCATGAAATAAAATTAAACTGAAGTACATTTTAAATCAACATTTTAAGACTGCGTTATAATTATATTTAAGGCACAAAAGGAGAAAAACTATGTATACTAAAATCTGGACTGATACATACAAATACCAAATATGTTCAACAAAATTTTCAATGTAGTATTTCCAAACCACATAGTTAGAAAAATATGTCCTTGAGAAAAACATATACAAATTGGTCCTAAATATTTGCCAAAATAAGGCTAAAGAAATCAAAAGTAAAAATGCTAAAGAAGTGGAAATTAAGTAAATACTTTTCAAAAGGCACTCACCAATCACAATTGAAGACTCACAGTGATAATAACCATTACTTTGCTTTTTCTTCAGCATGGAACAAAGATCAATGCGGTGTAGCATTTCTTCTCCAAATCTGTGACTGATAAATTTTTCATAGAATTTGGGGTCTATTTTTTTCACTCCCTTGAAATGACAAAACAAAATCACATCAGTCGATCATTTCAGTCAGGTAGCCAGTGTGAACATATTTATATCACTTTCTTAGAATCTGACATTACATTCTGGTACACAGTACTAGCTTCAAGAATTTGAAAATGGATATCACAAAATTGTTGGAAAGCTGTTTTTAAAGTCTCCTGTCTAGTATGAGCTATATAAAAAAAAAATCATTAAAGAGTGTTATGTTTAAATCTGGCAACATTCAAAACTTCATATATGTTAAGCTTCAGAAATAATAAAGTATATCAAGTTGAAATTTGAGATGAAGAAAAGAGTAATTATCTCCAACAACAATGAAGAAATGAATTTTGAAAAGTGATATGGACCATAACATTTTATAGTGTACAACAGTTTTAATAAGATGGATGCACTTTTTAAACTCCTTATGTAAGGATCATATCAAAGATCGTTTAAGTTTATTTGAGTTGGGGGAGGGCATCAGTTTGAAGCACTTCCAAGTTCTTCTCTACCTGACCCTCCTTATTCTTAGTGGCTTTCATAGCAGAAAGAGGGCTGGTGAAAAATTATAGTGCGGTGCCCTTGATACCTCTGTAGTTTCCCCAGACAGATACTCTTCCCCTTACTATACAAATGGTCCTGCACCCAGTCTCAGTCCAAAACACAGTCTGTAAGATGAAGGTACAATACTATACAGGGCACGTTTACTGGCTGATCACGTATGAACTTTTCCTTTTCATTTATAATTTTTAAAATATTACCTTGGCAATATTTGTCAAGGGTTAAAAATTAGAAAATATGAAGAAACTAGAAAGAAAGAAGGAAAAATCATTCACAATCATATTTATATAAAACTAGAGGCCTGGTGCACCAATTCATGCACATTGAAAGGAAATTAATTAGAAGGTGGCCGACGGGGCAGGACTAGGTGAGATGGGCTGGACACACCTTGGAGCCACCTCCCGGGATCCCTCACTGGCAGGCTGCACAGAAGGGTGTCTGTGGAATGAGCAGTGTGTGTGGGGGGTCCCTCTGGCAGGTGGGGTCCCTCGGCCTGGCCTACGGGGATTGGGTCAAAATTGGCAGTCCGTCATCCCCTGAGGGGTCCCAGAGTGCGAGAGGGCACTCTGCAAAGTTGCTGTCGCTCAGCAGCTCCTGCGTTGAGCATCTGCCCCCTGGTGGTCATTGCGCATCATAGCTACTGGCCGATCAGCCAGTCAGCTGGTCGCTTAGGCTTTTATATATGCAGATACATTATTAACACTGGAGTGCATATCCTTCAAGCCTTTTCTATACATACATATATTGTTTTCAGAATATATTTATACAAATCTTACTACAAAACATACTTAGAATACATATTTGCTCTTTTTAGTCATAAAAATTAATTTTAAAAAATATAATAGATATAAAAACAAAAATTTTATGATTAAATTACCCAAAATGGCTACTATAATTATATCATGTATTTTATTTTTCTCTGCAAAATAAAGTATTTATTATTTTTATAGGAATATGATTGTACCATGAAAACTATTTAATAACCAGCTATTTTGATAATTCTCCAAAGAGTCCCTCGTTCTCTCAAAGAGACAAATTCCCAGAACAGCCTACGAGGTCCTGCTGTGCCATCTCTGAACCTCTCAGGCCTGGTCTCCGACTGCTCTCCCCTGTGTCTCCCCAGCCTCCCTGGCCTCCTTGCTCTTCCACGAACATGCCAGGCACAAGCCCACCTCAAAGCCTATGTACTGCCTGTTCCCTCTTCCTGGAATGTTCTTCTCCCAGATATCCTCAGGGACCATCTCCCAACTCCTTTAATTCCTTGCTTAGAAGAGCCTCGCCTGACCATCCATTTAATTTTTACTTCCAAATCCTCTCTACCCGTCTCTCTTTATATAGATTTATGTATATTTTCCCACAGCATTTACCGTCTATGTTACCATTATATAACATACTATGATTGTACCATAAAAACTATTTAAAAGACTTTATTATGCTTATTTTTCATTTTCTGTCATTCTGTATCCCTCCCCATTAGAATGTAAGCTCCATATAGAAAAGAATTTTTGTCTGAGTTTCAGTCACTAAAATATCCCCAGTGCCTAGAACAGGGCTTGATCTGGAGATGTGCTCAATAAACAATTGTCACAAACGCAAAGAAGGATTGTTGACAATATCAAATTCTATTCATTTCGGGTTCAATAAGAATGAAAGGAAATGGATTCCTTTTGCTTTGGTGAATAGAATGCCACAGCAGACCATTATGCTGAGGAGCAGTCAGAATACATGAGTTCAACTCCAGGCTCTGCCATTTTTCAGCCCTGTGGCTTCCCTTCAGTTTTCTCAACTGTAAAATGAGGTTAACATCAGTACCTACCTTAAAGTGTTACATGGACTAAATAAGTGAATTTATGAATGTGCTTATACCAGTGAAATATAGTAAATGTCAGTGCGTGTGTGTTGCGGGACAGTGGGAAATGTGAGAGGCAGGGGGTTCAGACCCTTAGACCAGACAGAAGACAAGTGACAACTTAGCAGAAAAAGAAGAACCTTCAGATACCGATGCCACAGCATTGACTAGCCACTGTAATCTCCATTTGAGTTTTGTATCATTTTTTAAGGTAAGAAATAAGGAAAACATTCCTCTTCTAACCTACTGGGTGAATTAATTTAATTTTAGCAAAAAGGAAGTAGCAACTATTTTGCAAGAATTGTTCACAGATAACTCCCAACATGAACCTTAAGGTGTTAATTTTTACTAGCGAGTACAATGGAATTAATTATTTAACTCAATTTACAGAGAGAGCTGTGGTTCAAAGAGGCATGAGTCCTAGGAGACACTGAATTACAAGCACTTATCAGAAAACATCTTCAATAATAAAGTATATAGAAACAGATAACCTGCTTTATCTCATGTATAATATTAATATGCTCTTTATTCTCCAGGGAGTTTTTTGTTTGGCAATATATTAAGTTTTATTTTCAGGCTCTTTGTCCCATGTCAATATATTTCTTTTCTAGTAAAATCTATCTGAATTAGTCTCGCCATCCAGCTGCAGCAGGTGGTATTTCTCTTTCATAATAAAAGAAAGGACTAGCATTTTAAGAATATAAATGAGTACATCAAAATTGGATGTCATTTAGAATAAGGGTAAGAAGTCTCCTATTTTCTGAATAGATCATTGTGTTGCCAAAATAGTCCCCAAAACATCACCCTGCAAGGTTATATTTTAAAACTCAAAAGGTGGGTGATGGAAGGTTTTCAGCCCCCAGAATATCCTCTGCTTCCCTCTTCATAGGCCAGACCCTTTTCAAGGCACCTTGTCATTTAAAGATCGATTGAGGTGCATGTTAGGAGACCTCAAAGAAAATCACAAAAAATGGTTAAAGGTAGGAAAATTTGACTTACACAAAGGCTAAGAGAGTCAGGGTTATTTCGAATGTAGAGAAACAATATGTAGGGTATTTTCAATGAAACCATACTAAGAGTGCTTCAATCCTAGAATTCTGAAGATGCTTGATTGAATGAATGCCTGGTAGTCTGTTTGAAAATTATTTTGCCTTGGACCTAACATGGACAAGATATGTTTTTCACACTTATAATTGTACCCAATGTAACTGACATATCAATTATACAACATAACATTAAAAGAGAAAAATTGGAAGTTAAATACAGGATATTAGACTTTGAAACAATAAACTAGTGGTAAGAAACATCCAACAAAAATGCTTTTCAAGACTTTCTTAATTAATCATTAGAAATGACTGAAGTTTTATTTCTCTTTAGCCTAGTTTTAGTCACAGTTTAGGGAAAATTATCAGTGATATTCAAAGCAGTTGATAACCTTTGATACAATGTACCATGAAGCCCCAAGAAACCTCACTGTTGATGATAACTTGGCACCCGAACAACCAATACAGGAAAAATGCCATTGAGAGCATGATGAGTATTTTTAGAATCATCTAATGGCTGCATCTGACAAGTAATGGAAATCATTCGCTCAGAAAGCACTCACCATATCATTTATGCTTAGCTCAATGATGTGTATAATTTAATATGTACAAAAGAGGGCTCAGACTTGTATTACTCTGCAACCAACTCTATTTTCAATATAGGAAGTAAAGCACCATGAAATATGAAAATTCACATTAGTTAACAATCTGAGTGTAAAAATAATTCATTTAAGGTTCTTAAAGATAAACTACTACTATTCATCTTTAATTTCGATGAGCAAGTTATTGTGATCACAGGAATGATGACATGTCAGTGTTATTAAGAAGGTTAAGACTTTTTATATAATAGAAGGTAATTCCTTATAGTGACTTTATAATAATCACAGCTTCCATGATGAAAATAAAATCAGGCTGCATATCAGACAAAGAAATTATGAGTCCCACTGATGGTAAGCTTGGCATACCTAAAGCTCCATTGTGTTTTCCAGTAGGTTGTCCCTGTCATGCAGGGACTAAAAAAGAAATGTGTGCATTTTCTGTGATGATGTCTTGAAACCAAAATTCAGAAGGTAAATTAAGAGCCAAACCAAACTGCCTTGTCATTTTGGGCATCAGCTGGTTAAAGAGGAATGGTCATTTTTTTTTTTTACACTTGTTTTCATGAGTGGAAAAAGGTTACCTATATTGGTTAAAAACTAAAATCATTTTAAATGATCACTGCTCCTAATGAAAATTTATGTTTTAGTGATTCAAAGTTATGATAAGATTATATATTGGCATGGGGCTTCTCTGAAGCAAATCTTACTTTACAATTCTTTTTTTTTTAACAACTGAAATTTATTTTCTCACAGTTCAGGAGGCTGGACGTCTGCAACCAAGGTGCCAGCCAGTTTGCTTTCTCCAGAGGCCTCTCTCTTTGCCACCTTCTTGCTGAGTGCTCACATGGCCTTTCCCTCATGTCTTTTCCACTTCTCATTGATACCAGACATGTTGGATTAGGACACTGCCCTTATGACCTCATTTAACCTTAATTACCACTGTAAAGACCCTGA